CTGATCCGGAGACGGGGGTGAGCACACGGCGTTTTGTACTATTTCAGTCTCCATCTGTATATATAGACTTGTCTTTTACCTTTCGAGACAGTCCAGTCTCTGTTGTCCACTTTTGGGACTTGTACTCATTTTGTTAGTAGCTCTGTACTAGTGACTACCAGGTTCTGGGAGGGATCTTTATTTGTATATATGTTTTTGGTTTGCTTCCGCCTGTTTATATTGTTATTTGCCTACTCTTGTTTAGTTTCTACCCTCAGACCCATTACTTGTTGTTCCGGGTTATGGGTTGGCTTACCTACTGGTGGGTTATAGTGGGTGCCATCATGACTTGAGAAATCGGGTCGTGACACCAGCAATGGTTCTCGAGTGCCGGCTACGTCCAGGGTGTAGGCTTGGGTCGTGACATAGGGAAGCTATGATGAAGGCTTAACATTTTTTAACAACAGGATCCTATGAATGTTGATTATCAAGAAAATGAGAAGGAAAAATACCAAAAATTCTATGAGGCATAAATTTATCTTCAACTGAGGAGCAAAGGTACATGGATAAAACTTGGAGACGATAATACCAAATATTTTTTCTCTATCATAAAATAACGAAGCCCACAACAAGCAACAACTGAACTTAAGGATGACCCTGAGAATTGGCACACTGATCCAGAAGTAATAGCCAAGATATTTGTAGACTATTACATAGAGTTATTGGGGAAGAAGTGCAGTAAAAGGATGCGGGCATATGAGAATTTTTTGAAGAATGGACATTGTCTTACCGTAGATCAATAGGTTGAGCTTTTACAAGCTTATACTCCTAAAGATATACTGCCATGTTCCAAATAGACAGTAATAAAAGCCCTGGATCCGATGACTATGATAGTGGATTATTAAAGTCAGCTTGGAAGATTATAGAGACAGATATTACAGATGCAATCCCTGAATTCTTTAGGAATGGAAAATTGTTAAGACAGTTAATTACCACAAACATTGCTCTGATTCCAGAAGTCATAGCTCCTAAATCTGCCAGCCAATTTAGGCCCATTTCGTGTTGCAATGTAATTTACAAATGTATTTCGAAAGTCTTGTGTGCTAGATATAGATGAGCTTAGCACTATAGTGCCAGAAAACCAATCTGTTTTTGCCCAAGGAATGTCTATGGTACACAACATCTTGATATGTCATGACTTGATGCAACACTATGGAAGAAATACCACATCAAGATGCTTGATGAAAATAGACTTAAGGAAGGCTTACGACATGGTAAGTGGGTATTTGTGGAGGAAGCACTTACATGATAAGAATTTCCTAAAAGTTTTATACAGTTGGTGATGATATGTGTCTCTTCACCGTATTTTACGGTCAAAGTTAATGGAGAGGGACATGGGTTTTTCGCTGGAAAGAGAGGTCTAAGACAGGGGGATCCAATGTCCTCTCTCTTATTTTTTCTAGTAATGGAGTATCTATCGAGAGTGCTGAAGTGCATGAGTGATTTACCTGATTTTCATTTTCATCCAATGTGTAAACACCTCAAGTTGACCCATTTGATCTTTGTAGATGACCTAATGATCTTTTGTAGAGGTGATGCTGGCTCTGTGACTAGAGTGATGGAAGCTTTAACTCATTTTAGTGAGGTTACAGGTTTGGTGGCCAATGTAGATAAATCTAACCTCTTTTTAGCTGGAGTTGATGACGAAACTCAAGGAAACTTGTTAAAAATGAATGGTTTCACTTTGGGACAACTTCCAATAAGATATCTTGGGCTTCCATTGTCATCCAAGAAGTGGATTGACAACGGTTGATAATGAAGATAACTAATCGAATTTAACATCGGATAGTCCTAACTTCTGTCTAATGTCGGTAGAATTCAAGTTGACTGCCGTATTATTTTCTGAACTCAGCTTCTGAGTGTCTGTGTTCATCTTTCCCAAAAGTATCCTCAAGGAGGTTGACAAGATTTATAGGAATTACATTTGGGGGAGTAATGAAGAGAAGAGGAAAGTGCCACTTGTGGCTTGGGAGAAAATTTGTTGTCCAAAAAAGTTCGGAGGGCTGAATGTAACAACTGGAATGTTGCATCAGCTGGCAAACTTCTCTGGCAGTTATCAGAGAAACAAGATATACTATGGGTAAAATGGGTCCATGGGCTATATATGTGGAATGGTGTTTCCATTTGGGAACATACCCCGCCTCAAGATTAAAGCTGGTATGTGAAAAAACTTAATGCACTGAAGAACAATATGAGGAACTGGTACATACAAGGGAGGTATACTTTAACCCACTCAGGCCAATATTCAATTTCCGCAAGTTACAATGCAATGCTAGGTGAATTGAATAGGCTACAGATAGCTGCCCTATAAGAGCAGCTAAGGCATAGAATGATAATGTGGTTAGCAGTACAAGCAGGCTACTTACCAAGGAGCGGATGCTACATTTGAACATTCATGTTGATAATGAGATGTGTTATTTGTGCCGCAGCGAAGTGATGGAGACTCAACTGCATCTCTTTGCTCATTGTGCTTGGCTGGGACAAGTAAAAGCTGAAATTTTATCATGGGCTGGTATGCTAGTGTACCCAGGCGAGGTGAGACAAGTGCTAAAAAGGATCAAGCTACAGGAAAAGCGTGAAATACATGGGGAATTTCCTAGGGATTAGTATGAAAATTTATTTTCCTGCTAATTTTCATACTAATCCCCATGTAATTCACCTTTTTCTTGTAGTGGCAGAAGCATTAGATGCAATTCTATAAAAAGTAGTTGCAGCAATTTGGAGTGCCATAGTTTACCACACTTGGAGGGCAAGGAACTGGAAGTTGTATAAAGACACAACTGTTAATAGTGAGATAGTAATTGCACAGACAAAAAGAGAATTTACAGAGAGGATAGCATTGTTTAGAGGACCCAAGAAAACTCATACAAGTCATAGATAATATTCAGCATTTTTTCATGTAACTAGTTCTCTTGTCCAGTTGGAGGTTAAAAGACATAGAACCTTTCCTAGAAGGTGACTACGAATTTTGGGTGCTCTATAGGTGTATCGGCCCTTTGTTTGTTAATGGTGTTTACAGTTTATCAAAATAAAAAGGGTGCCTAAATCAAATTTCAAAAGAAAATTGGACGTATTTATTTTTCAACAAATTGAATATGTTTGTGTTCAAATTTTATTAATGTATTTTAGTTAAATGTACATATTTAGAAATTCTACCAAGAAATTGCTGAAATATTATCAAAATTCACCTCAAGATATCGAGAATGAAACGTAAAGTATTTCAAAATACAATTAATATTTTCAACGAGTTTAACTTTCTCTATAACTATTTAGTGCTAGATCAAAGAAGCACGGGAGAAGATTAGATATAATTTTTTTTTGACTGAGGATACGATCTTAGATGGAAGCTATGAAGGTAAAAGATTAAAATAATATGGTAATCGATAGATGAGTGTTGTCACACAAGGTAATCTCATCTTCTCCTTGTTTATTAATGTTATTTAGTTCTCTTATAGTTATAGTAGTATTTTATTTTTCATTTCTACTACTTCAAATTGCTGCATTTGTTTTATTTTATTATCCTTATTTTTCTTTCAATTTTGCTTTGATTATACCATTTCTTTTGTTTGAAACGACAGCTTATCAAAAATAGTCTCGCTACCCCATAAAGATAAAAATAAGATCTATACATATAAATCTTACACTTCTCAAACTTCACTTGTGAGATTATACTAAGTATGTTTTGACATTGTCATATATAATAAGTTATAAAATAATCTTCTATAATTGATTAAATAATATAAAAATATATTTTTATCGATATATTAAATTATTTTCTAATCTATAATTCATTTCACATACTTTATTTAAAATAAAGAATATTTTGCAAATTATCTACTCACTCCTTTAAAGATGTAATCCATAGATGTTCAATTTTTTTGGCTTTTAACTACAAGTAATTTACTTCAGACGTACAGCATGAACTGTAGATTTTACAGAGCAAGTTATCAAACATCTAATTGTGTATGCAATAAGTAGAATCTTAAAAACGGAAAAAAAGAAGAGCATAAACTTGTATGATTACATTCCAACTAACAAGTTTAACTTTCTGTTCAATGTATGAGCGTTTCTTGCATCCTTCAACAAAATTAACTAACATCATAGAGTTTTTACAACCCGCGGTTCTCCTACAAACGCGTACCTGAAGAGTCCTTAGTGACCTGAATTCTGATCGATAAACAACAAATCGGAAGGTGAGGTGCACTATAACACACTAGCTCCCTCCTCGTCACTATTACAACAAGTACAGACATTTGCATATAGTAGTATAGTCCTAACCTTGCTACTCTTACTTCTACTAGCAAGAGAGCTTCTGCACGTAAAATACCCCTAGGGATATCATCTTACTTCCTAGTATGGAAAAACCTTTTGTATAAGGTTCGATTGGTGAATTGAGGTAGAGTAGACCGATGATCCTGTAGTCATTTGGCCAGCTATTGAAAGAAAAAACTTGCATCTGCTTCTCCTAAGTAGTTTCCAAAGCATCAGCAAGTAAGTATATATGTTCCCCTGAACATATGTATGATTCTACAACAACCTGCAATCATCAACAATATGTGAGTATAAGTTGTTCTTATTGATGTGCGAAATTTATGAGCTAAATATCAGTTTAAACCCCTAAAGGTTGGTCTCAAAGTAAGCCCACATCAACCTATTTGCCAGGTAAAATGTTCATTTCTTATGGAGACATAACCAAAAGAAATATCCATGTAAATTCTTTCCGGTTTGCTGGCGAGTTGTGTGCCTTGGGTTACATCATAAAGAGATCGATTCAGAGAAAGAAGGTTCACACAAGCAATAGGATATCCTGACCCCTTTTTTAGATTAAAAGCTTCTGATTTAAAATTGAGAGGGAAGAGATAATGTTGCTGCCAACATCTAGAAGTGAGCAATGTTTTATCCGTCGTTGAATAAAAGGACACAGAGAAGGTCAAAGATAATGAAAAAATTAACTCGCGAGTATATGAAGTAAACAGAAAGATGTAAGTTTCAGAGTGTTTTGGACACTGCAAAGCAGCACTTCCAACTGTGCCTATGCTCAACCCAAAATGATTCGAACTTTAGAAAAATGAGGAATTTTTAGTAAAGTTAGACAGTTTTTGTTAACTTAAAATGATGGTAACATCTACCTTCTCAACTATGGTCACGACAGTAATTTAGTTAAGCAAATCTGGGCCATTAAATTTTAAATGGGACATGTCTCATACATATCCAAGTAAAGCTCAGTGAAATAGAGAATGACTAGTGAAGATGAGCCTGATACACTCAAGATTATAGCAGCTAACCACTTTCAACTCACTTTTCCCAACCCAATGGTATCACTAAAGTGAAAGAAGATTCGCCTTTTGATTAACTACAGAAATAAAAGGAAGCTATTAGCAGCAAGGAAAATCATCCAAACTTTGTAATATATCAGAAGTTAATCAACTATTATTCAAAGATCTCAGTAACTCATCTATCTCCTCAACAAGTGTCACCAAAAATGAACATTAAACATGTTTAAGTTTTGATTCTGCCAAGGGCTATTCCAATAATCATTGGCATATTTACTTGCACCTTGGTGCTCTTTACTTTACTTTGTCTAGCTGGTTACTATGGTTACCGCGTTTCGTGAAGAATTTGAAAAGGTGTCGGCATCTATGAAGGAGGTGTCTGATGGAAAGTTATCTGGAGTGTTTTTGAATGGGCTGAAAGAGGAAATTTGAGCAGAACTGATGCTTTTATGGGATGAAACATTGAGGGAGATTATGGAGATGGCTAAAAGGGGAAGGATCAAAATTCTGTTTTGCAGCAAGTTCAGGGTTTAAATTTGAACCAAGTAGAGGAAGTTCAAGCAATAAATCAGTTGGGTTCAGACCCAATTATCCTCGAGTCGCAAACATACTTGAAACACGTGACTCAAGAGCTGGAGCAGAAGGCGTAACATTGATTCACCATCGCATATAACTGAAAATTCGACTAGCTTCAAGGCGACTTCAGTAGCAAAATCCGAGGGACAATTCAAAAGGTTGTATGATTTAAAATTTGCACGAAAAAGAGAGCCAGTGTTATGTTTCAGATGTGATGAAATATTTGGCCTCAATCATCGTTGTAAAAATAGGCAACTTAACCTATTGATCATTTCAGAGGCACCCAACACAGATGAAAATGATACAGAATTCTTTGAGCCTACCAGAGAAGATGTAGTTGAAGGGGAAACTAAGGGTACTACGATGGTGTTGAATATGAATTCGGTTGTGGACCTTACAGCAGGTATAAGTTGTTCTCCTTATTGACGAGGCAATTTAAGAGCTAAATACCAGTTTAATCCCCTGAAGGATGGTAAAATGTTGTGTACTTTTTGTTACATCAAATTGAGATTCAACTTGAGAGTGACAGATCACGCAAAGAATAGGAATTCCTGACCCCTAAACAAGTTTTTTACAATAAAAAGCTTAGAATTTAAAATTGAGAGGGAAGAGCTAACGTTGCTGCCAACATCTAGAAGTGAACAATGTTTTGAAGGCAGTTGAATAAATGGAAGCAACGAAGGTCACAGAAAATGAAAAATTAATTCACTAGCATAAATGTTGAAAAAGAAAAAGAAATTGATCTTCCTATTGTAAAGAGGAAAAAATATATTTATTTTGAATATTTTGAGTAATATTCCAAGATTAGAATTGATAAATCATTTTAAGTAGGAATATCTGGGGTATTTATTTTGAACATTTTGGGTAACATTATAAATTTAGTCTACTATACAAGAACAAAAATTAAGAAAGACATTTTGGGAATTGGTCAAATTTTGAGCAATGTATTATATAACAAAATGATCAGAAACAATGTTGCTTAATTGAAGCCAATATCAGGTCTAAAGTATTCATCTTTCATATCTGTTTTCATCTATCTCTCCATTTTTAGAAAAACTGAAATGTTAATCTGTTTTGTTTAAACTGAAATAATTTTAAAAGTAAGTTTCTTTGCTATGCGGAGAGAATTGAAAATAGAAAAAAAATGTTATGTGGTGCGGTGTGGGGCGGGTTGAAGCCTTTGCGGGTTTAGACCAAACCCGCACCGCAACAGCCCTGGCCCATTGCCATCTCTACCACTTTCTCAACTATGGTCACGCCAGTTGTTTAGTTAAACAAATCTGGGCCATTAAAATTTAAATGGGACATGTGTAAAACATCCAAGTAAAGCTTAGGAAATAGAGAGAATGACTAGTGAAGAAGAGCCTGATACACTCTTGAGTCCAGATTATATCAGTTAAACACTTCAACTCACTTTTCGCAAGTCAACGGTATCATTAAAGTGAAAGAAGATTCCGCCTTTTGATTAACTATAGAAAACTAACAGGAAGCTATTAGCAGCAAGGAAAATCATCCAAACTTTTTAAAATCAGAAGTTAATTAACTGTTATTTAATGATCTCTGTAATTCATCTATCTCCTTAATAAGTGTCACTAAAAACGATCATTAAACATGTTTAGGCTTTGATTCTTCCCAAGGACTATGCCAATGATTATTGGCATATTCACTTGTGCCTTAGTGATCCTTACTCTTACTTTGTCTAGTGAAACATGTACCCCTAAAACACTGCTTAAAAGGACAAAAGAACGCCCAATGTTCCTGCAAAACGTTATTGTTACTTGGGTGTAGGCAAAAACAGAAACGGACAACCAAGATATCTAAGCAGATATGGTGTAAAAATGGTCCTTGAATAGGCAACATCCAATATTTGACAAAATAAGCAGAATTTTAAAACACGTGAAAAATGCAGCGAAAGAATACTTACAGGTTGTTAACTATTACAACAGTCATTCACCTGAGTTCTGACATCTTTCAATCTTCGTTTGGTAAATCCGGACAAACTAGGCTTTCGATGCAAAGTTCCGCCTCAATTCTGTTGTAAAAACCAGTAACCTCAACATTAGGAAGCTCTGGATATGTGAGAGAGTCATTCTTTGGATCGTATATCGCTAAAGTTGATTTAAACGCGAGCAGAATTTCACCTTTATTATACGTGAAAAGGGGCGGAGAAAGCTCATAGTTCTCAGGATACCTGATGGTATACAGTTTTGTCCAAGACGCTTTAACTCCATATTCCTTCATTACCCACACATCAGAGTGAGTTCTCTCATCATTATTACAGAGGACCGAAAGATCACTTCCCAATACTCCAAGCTTCAAATCTCGTCCTTTGTTGTAGCTGGGCAGGTCCAACTTTCCCCATTTCTCATCAACCAAATCAATAGACGTGATGCTCATACGACGTCTACGAAATGTAATCCAATGAAGTTTATGATTCACAAATTTAGCCTCACCACAGTAACTCACCCCAGGTTTAAAATCTTCAAGTGTTCTCCAAGAATCACTCTTTAAACTATATATCGCGGCCTCGAAATTGGCCTTAATCATGCTACTAAAAATACCCACTACCTTATAATCGTTATGAACCTCATCATATCCAAAACCACACTTGGACCAGCATTCACGCATCTGTGTAGGCACAAAGCCGAACACTTTCTTGAACTTTCTAATTGATGGATTCCATAGCACCAACCCACTAAACCCATCGGCAAGACAAACCAACCCATTAACAGAACCCGAAATATAGACACGTTGAGGTGGATTTTTCATGGGACAATCCAAATCAAGTGCCTCATTAACAGAGCTATGAAATAAAGAGCTAACAGAACAATATTTAATATCTTCCCGAAATTGTAACAGAGATATATGGCGGGTGTAATCATTAGCAGAAAAATTAAGATGAGTTTTCACAAATTCAGGACTGGAAATCAAATTAAACCAATTTTTGGAAACGCATTTGAACTGTAAGAGGTATTTAACTGGAACCCTTACAAGAATTGCTACGATCAGTTCTTCTGGTAAACACCCCATTGAATCTTTGCTTGGAATTTCAGTACCCTTTCTCAGTCTCCTCCGTTTTGGGCGTCGATGAGAAGCTTCAGATTTCATTTTGGTTAGCAAACGTTTCATCGAAAGCTTCATTCTTTGACGTATAATTCAACAAAAAGAGTTTTCACAAAATTTTAGCTCTGCTTATTGTTTCTATCGAAAGCTTCACTTACTTGCAGAGCCGTTTACATCAGTTTTGCCGCTGGTTATATTGCTCTTATGTATATTTTCTTTCTTTCTTTTTTTGTTTGTAATATAGGTTTTTTTTAATCATTCTACATATTTAAATTTAAATTGACAATACATATTTGATATGATGATATCTATTTCTCTTTTTGGCTAAATTTAGGTTTTCCTTTTAGTTCTTTTTTAATCGGTATTAAATTTATTGGAGGAGACTTATATGTAACAATTTAGATATTCGGATGTCTAAAGTGGATATTCATATTACAAATTACTATCTTGGAGAGGTTGTCTACCAGAGATCGATTAATGCAGTGGGGTGCATTAGATTCAACTTCATGTCCTCTGTGTAACTAGGTTAATGAGAATCATAATCAGTTGTTCTTTGAATGTACTTACTCAGGGTGGATTTGGAGCAAACTGCTACAATGACGGGTATTCCTAGAGGTCCTCGTACTTGTTGAGAGGAGAAACAATGAACAATTACACATGAAACTGGACAAAACATACAAACAGAGATATACCAGATGAGTTCAGCTGGAGTTATATACCATATTTGGCTTGAGAGGAACTCCAGGGTGTTTTCGAAGGCCAGAAAAAGGTGGGAATCATGGTACAACAAATTATTTAGGAGATCCATGTTTGAGGTTCCCCGAAGATCAAGCTAGGAAAGTCTAATAATCAGTCAAATCTGCAAGATTTGCAAAATGAGTATGGTAATTTATAAAAAGTCTAGAACAAAACTTACTTTACGTAAAAATAAAGTAGCAAAATTGGGAATCAAACCCAGATGCAAAACCATTCAAAGGACCTTATGCACCCACAAATAGCCACTTCCCCAATCAAACAATTTATTCTATAGGTACTCGTTGTTCAATTTTATACTATTCCTCTTAATTTCTATATATAAATATATATATATATAATTCGGTACAAAGTTAATGGGTGCTCGAACACCCAAGAGTCCCTACGTAGGTCCAGCCTTGATTGTGACTGCATACAAAATAAATGAAAAAATATTCAAGTTGGAATGAAGTGGATATTAAATTTTTCTCTTGAGTTGCTTAAGCAAAAGCCCATATTTGTACAAGTCAAAAGAAGAATTCAAATATGGGGAAATTATCATATTTCAAATAATTAATGAGCAAAAATTCTCATATAATCTGAGTAATTGATAACTATGTATGATGCATCATGATAAGTTTAGGATACATAATGCATCATGATATGTTTAGGATATGTGATGTATATCATGATACACTTGGTATTCATAAAAAAATCTTGCATAATCTGAGTAATTGATAACTATGTATAATGTATCATGATAAGTTTAAGATACATAACGTATCATGATATATTTATTATATATGATGTATATCATGATACATTTAATTAGGATACATGATGTATCATGATACATTTAGGATACATGAGATATTAATGATACCTTTTGAATACATGATATGTCATAATACTTATACATGATGTATCAAAGATACCTTTCGGATACATGATGTATCTTGATATCTTTCGAATGCATAATGTATCATGATACTTTTTCGAACACATGGTGCATCATGATATCTTTCGGGAAGACTTCTCTTCAACAACAGTTAATATTGCTTTTTTCAATACTCTTATCAATAGCGCTAGAACAATCACCCCAGCATTGTAATTTTTTGTATACTAAACTCCAATATTGATAGAGAATTTGTGAAAGCTTAGCACAAATCCTAAAAAGATAATTGAAAATTGTACTTAGAAAAAAAGAATTGGAAGAACAAATATGTAGATGTATTTACTGTGAAATAAATTTTTTACATGATATGAATAATCACAAAAACGTAAATTTAAAAAAATATCTAGTTCAAACTAGAAGAAATTGAAATGAATCGTGTTAAATTGGTGGAGTTAAGACGTGGGGGTTGAAATTGAGATAATATAAACGAGAGAAATGTGAGGAAAAATTAGTCAGATACAATTTCTATTTATATGTGAAATCGGGAATTAGGTAAAACCGTGTAAATTTACTATTAAAATAATATTATAGCTTCTTTGGGTAAATTACACGAAAATGACAAACATCTAGAGTAGATTATGTAATATAGCTATAAGTTTGGATTATTTTTAATTTGTGGCAGTTTCGCAAAAATTTGCTATTCGATTTCCTAATTGTATAAATTCAGAATTTGTATAATTTGGTCCCTAATTGTATAAATCTAGAATTTGTATAATTTTGTTCCTGATTGTATAAATTCAGAATTTGTATATGCTTACCCCTAATTGTATAAATCTAGAATTTGTATAATTTTGTTCCTGATTGTATAAATTCAGAATTTGTATAATTTGGTCCCTAATTGTATAAATCTAGAATTTGTATAATTTTGTTCCTGATTGTATAAATTCAGAATTTGTATAATTTGGTCCCTAATTGTATAAATCTAGAATTTGTATAATTTTGTTCCTGATTGTATAAATTCAGAATTTGTATAATTTGGTCCCTAATTGTATAAATCTAGAATTTGTATAATTTTGTTCCTGATTGTATAAATTCAGAATTTGTATAATTTGGTCCCTAATTGTATAAATCTAGAATTTGTATAATTTTGTTCCTGATTGTATAAATTCAGAATTTGTATAATTTGGTCCCTAATTGTATAAATCTAGAATTTGTATAATTTTGTTCCTGATTGTATAAATTCAGAATTTGTATAATTTGGTCCCTAATTGTATAAATCTAGAATTTGTATAATTTTGTTCCTGATTGTATAAATTCAGAATTTGTATAATTTGGTCCCTAATTGTATAAATCTAGAATTTGTATAATTTTGTTCCTGATTGTATAAATTCAGAATTTGTATAATTTGGTCCCTAATTGTATAAATCTAGAATTTGTATAATTTTGTTCCTGATTGTATAAATTCAGAATTTGTATAATTTGGTCCCTAATTGTATAAATCTAGAATTTGTATAATTTTGTTCCTGATTGTATAAATTCAGAATTTGTATAATTTGGTCCCTAATTGTATAAATCTAGAATTTGTATAATTTTGTTCCTGATTGTATAAATTCAGAATTTGTATATGCTTACCCTAGCTATTTGCTATTATCTTTGCTATTTCTGAAATTCTCTTATTTTATAGTATGATTTTAATCAGTAAATTTTGGGTTAGTCTGCCTTGTTGGATAGAGTTTCCTTTTTTAGGTTGTTTTCTTTTAATTTTTATGATCGATTTTTTTTGTTTATTTACTATCCAAATCTTGAACATCATTTTTTGTAAAAATATCTGGCTTACGGTGCACCACTGCAAGTCCATGGTAGGTGGATGGATGTGTTAAAGAATAGGTCTCATGTATAGGGGAGAGTGTGTTTCTGCAACCAATTGATTTATATGTATCTTTTAGGTGTATGTATTCTTTATCAACCTAATCTAATGTATTTGGTTGTAGATTTCAAGAACAGAGCCTTCGAAGTAATGTTATACTCTAATCATTGTTATAATATTATATATGTTTGTACTATTATAATGTTTTTGTTGTGTTTTTTTTTATCATTTTATTCATCAAGATTGTGACTACAAATCCGTTAGTTGATTTATCCATGATTCGAGGGCAGTTAATGGCGTATTTCTCAAACTAAGATACTTTTGATTTTGATCTCTCTATGAATATTTCATGAATTTGCGGAATATTTGAGATGCCAGAGCATATAATATCATTTATATAGGAATGAACTGAGATTTAGAAAGTAGCCTCCAAGAATCCTAATTGAAATTGAACACGCTTTGTAGAGTCGAAATAAAATTGAACATGTCTTATAGAGTCACAAAAAATTTCGTACACATTCATGAAGCAATGATGTTAGTTTAACTTATTGTTTATTGTTAAAAGGTTAAATGTTTTTATACAATTTTGTGGTTTATCTTTTCTACTATTTGAGTTACTATTGTTTAATGGGAAAATGCATATGTACCCCTTCAACCTATGTCTGAAATCTCAGAGGCACATTTATACTATACTAATGTCCTATTACCCTCCCGAACTTATTTTAGAAATAATTTTTTACCCCTTTTCGGCTTACGTGGCACTATCTTGTGGGCCCAACGCGTGCTGACAATTTTTTCAAGAATAGTGCCACGTAGGCCGAAAAGGGGTAGAAAATTATTTATAAAATAAGTTCTGGGGATAATAGGACCTTAGTATAGTATAAATGTGTCTCTAGAATTTCGGGCATATGTTAGGGGTACTTGTGCATTTTCCCTTGTTTAATATATATTTATTTAGCATACTTTCAAGAATATATAGTATTGTTATCTCGTTGTAAAAGAGATGAAATCTATAATTTCCACTTATTTAAATCTGTTTATAATAAGTCAATTTTCTAATTAAAATTTAATAGTCTTCTATTTATTTTAAGAAAGAAATAGAAGCAAGTGACATAGTAGGGTAGGTTGTCTTTGAGCTTGAACCGTGAAAGCAATCACTAATATTTTTACTTTCTCTAGCCTGTCCATATTGAGTGAATTGTTGGAATTTTTTTCATAGTTCAAAATAAGTGAATTAAATAGATTGTCTACCTCACACTTCAAATACAACATAATATTTTATGTACCTGCCTTTCAATAAAACATTTAAATTTCTATAAAACTTTAGTTCCTCCGAAAAGAGAGGGGAAAAAACACTCAACTTGTACATAATAAATAAGTAAACATTATTTGGGTTTACTTATAAATATTGAATAAGTACTGAAGAAATACTAAGAGAACTCCTAAACAAATACTAATAACATATCTAATTAAACACTAATAACATAGAAGTAATGAAATTCTGTTTTGCCTCTTCCCATTATTAATTATCTTCCTCTGCCTCTCTCTCTCTCTCTCTCTCTCTGCCTCAATAATGGCCTTATTCTCTCCAAAGTCAGAGCTTTTGTTCTTGTTCTTCTTCATCTTTTCTCTATCCTTCAATCTTAGCCGTTCAAATAAAGATGATGATGTTCATGATCTCCTTCCTTCT